CCGTGGTACCATTATAAATCCTACTATAGAAATTGTAATTCAGAATGAAATGATTCATTTAATGTATTACTCAATGAGAAGTCGAGAAAAGCACGTAGCAATTAATAATAAGTTAGAAGAAATCTTACACCACAGAAAGACATAGCAGTAATAAAAAAAAAGCTACCCCCAGAATTGAGTGAGACGTGTCAGCAGTGGTATAGCATGAAATTGTATAGCTACAACAAACGCGTATTTTAAGTGGCGCCGATTGAATTGATGAGTTAGGCGCATTAGAAAGAAAGATATTGAAAATAAATGTGGAAGGGTAAGAATTAAAATTGAAGAGAGGTGAGTGGAGCGAAGAATTAATTAGTATATCGCAATTGAGAAAAGTGTTTGATGTAGATCCGCTCAAGAGTGTGGAGACTTTTTCTCAAGATTATCAAGATTTAACAAATGTGATTATGTTATTTAAAATTAGATAATGGAGGGTGCCCATTGTTTAGGGTCCTATAACCATTCCTATTTTGCATGTATGCCGTAGGGATTGGAGTGGTCAAACAATTCTTTTTCTTTTTGTTTTTTTTTTCAATTGGGATTCCCATCCTTTTCACCCCTTTCTAGCAAACAAACAATTTAATTCAAACACAAACAAACCCTATTTCAGCATTTTCGGCCACTCTGTCTCTTTCTTTCTCAACAATTTTTTGTTGTGCGTTTAATAAAATCCAAAACCCAACTCATTTCACTTCCCTCCCGGAATCTCGCCATTATTCTATCATTATAAATGCTGCTGCTCTGTCTTATTATTGTTGTTATTATTGTTCACTTCACCACCAAATTGGTTTCATATGATAATAGCAATTGATTCCAAGTGAAGAATATAGAAATAGAGAGTGAATAAAACAAGGATGATCATGTTTGAATTCTTGCTGATATTGACGCAGATACAGTCTCAGCAACGGCAACCACACTCTTATTGTATTGTAAAAGAAGAAAATGTATTCGGCCCACTCGTTCGTTGCGGTATAATGCTCACTTTTTCTAAAGCAATAAAAGATTCGGTCCAAATTGAATTACACTCCACCAATGTAAACAAATGCAAATTACTCTTTCTCTCATCAACCAAAAATTAAACAGAGCAGCCAAATTGTTCGTGCTTTTGCACACAGTGAAACCACAATCGTTCATCGTTTTTGTTCATCAATTTAACAATCTAGTTACTGATAAAACGATCGCCAGTATTAGATTGAATTATTGGAAAAGTGAACACGGTGTGAGAAAGGAGAAAGAAAAAGAGCGGGAAGGATCTCGAAATGAATTTCTTTCCCCTGGTGATTTTTCCTTTTATAAAATCTGTCTATGGACAAACAAAATTTGGTTTGATTTACATTTTACAAACGTTTCAATTACTGCGTGTGAGGGAGAGCGTCAAAACGGCATGATATGCGTGGTCTTGGTGTCGTAGCACGTGAGGCATGACTTGGAGTTCACCCGAAAAATCTTGAGCAAATCGGTGCACATTTGGCGCACTTGCGGCGTACAGTTGCTCTGCATCAGCAACAGAATCTTGGTCAAACCATTGGCCTGCGTCACTGCCTCCAGTGCCTTGCGATCGCGAAACAGGTAGCACAAGCTCCACAGCGTCGTCACAGCATGCTCCGTCGCCACGGTAGACACTTTCAGAACCTTGCTCAGCACCGCCGCCACGCACACCGCGTCCTCGCATATCTCCTTCCGCCCCTCCCTCGTCGAAGAAACCGCCTCCACCAGCTTCAGTACCTTCTCCACCGTCGCCGCTCCCAGCTCCGCCTCCTCCAACAGCCTCGACAGCGCCCTCACCGTGCCGAGACTCACCAGCTTCAGTTTGTTCCGCTTCGGCGCCGAAATCGCGATCAGGCTCGCCAGCGCGGCCTCGACCAGCGCCGGATCGTTCTCCGGCGCCGCCGACTTCAGCAATTCCGCAACCACGCCTTCCTTCTCGGCTACTAAAATCTTCGACTCGGCGTCCGCGGCGATGAACTGCAGAACCCTGGCGGAGGCGAATCTCGAATCGCAGCCTCCTCGTTTCAGAACGAGAAGAAGAGAATCTAGGCTCTGTTTGTTTCCTTTGAGCAAAGAGTTTCTCAATCCATCGCGATCTTCGACGCCATCGAGAATCAGAGCTAACAGAAGGACGACTTGTTCGAGAAATTGAATGTTAGCTCTGGCGATGAGTCCTCCGTCGACATTGTGGAGGAAACGAACGAGTTGGTTGACCAAGCGTTCTAGTTTGGAAAGGAAGAGTTTGTTATGGTGAGAATCTGTGGCGAAGAGGAGCAGTTTGGTGAGCGAAGCAGAGCGGAGAGAGGGGGTTTCCAATTGAGAGACGGTCAGGAGGACCTGGTCCGGGGAGAGGATAGTTGAATGGCGAAGGGAATCGGACCAGATCTGGATGAGGCTTTGCAGAGTTCGGTTGGGAACGAAGTCTTTGGTTTTGAGGAGTTGCATGGTTGCGGGGCAGGTGTTGTTGCCGGCGTCGAGCCAGCGTTGGATGCTGGAGCGATCGTAGGTGATTCCGGTGCAGAGACTGACAGGGGATTTCATGAGATCAAGAGAAATAGGGCACGTGAAGAAAGTGGGAACGTTGATGCATAGATCGTCTCTTGCTCTGACCATGGTTTGGTTGAGTTGAGTTGAGTGAGTGAGTGAGTGAGTGAGAGTGAGAGACAGAGAGAAGTGGGAGATGCTGGTGAGAGGAGAACGGGGTGTTTAAAGATGCAATGGGAATGGTCAAAGGTGGGTGACGTAAGATGCTTCCCTTTTTGTTTATTTCTATCTCTACTTGCGCTCTCGGGTCAACCGGGGAGAGAATTGTGCGTGTAATGGTCGTGACACGTGGAGGTGGAATGCCTATGATGAAGCTTGAGGGGTAGAACGTGGGGGTGCTGGGGACCACCCAGGAACATTTTTATCAACTTTCAATTAATTCATCATAAAAGGATTTTACACTTTTATTATTTTTTAAATTAATTTAAAGAAGAATCATGGATACTAATGACTTATATCCAAATTCATTATTATGATTATTTTCTTTTTCTCTTTTTGGGCCGTGGGATGGGGGTCTTTAATTTGACTCATCATGTTTTACAGTGCTTGGTTATGGCACCGAAAGCAGATATTTGTAAAGAGAATATCACAATTCTCACTTCCATCGATTACAACTACTCATCATCATATCAACGTTTCTTTCTTCTTTTTCACTGTAACTTTTTTGTGCTCTTGGGATTAAAACTCAGCTTCGTAAGTTACAGCTAGCCCTACTTTCACGCAACAAACTGTGCCTGGAGTACTTCCCTATATGCTCCACCTTTTTTTATTATCCTACTTCATCACTAAACCTAAAACCATCTCATACATAAAGTAATGAAGACAAAAAGTTGGTTCAACAGAATAAATGTTGTAATTAACTATGATTTTGAAACACTCTTGCATTATTGATTTTGAGATAAAAGGATTCTTTGACAAGTTTTCGTGTTAAAACACATGAATTGCGTAGATTAAGTGGGAAATGTTTGGTGTTTGGTGGCGTAGAAGGAGCTGATTCGTGGTGTGTTACGTAGATTTGCATGAAAATGACACGGGAATTATTCGGATTTCAACGACTGGGACTTCTCTTGTGAAATTTGACCAAACCTTACCTTCCGTCTTCGGTTTTGCATGCTTCTTTCAATAACGTTACTCTTCTCCTTCTTTCCTCTATTATCTATGCTCAGTTTTCGTTTAAGAAAAGAAAACATAATTTAACTGACATTTTATATCCATCGCTAAAACAACCATTAATTATCAGAGATCCTTTTTATTTTAATTATTTGAGTGTTTACCAAATAAAAATAAATGTATACTAAGATAATTTTTTTTAATGTCAATCACCGTATTATTTGTTTTTGGAGTTCACAAATTTTTCACATTTTTATTTCTTAAATAAAAGGGTATACTTAAATTATTTTTAATTTTGACTCTTAAAAGGATGTGAAACGTACCTAACCAGAAATTAATTTAAATAAATAATAAAATTTAATATAAAGTACCTTTTCCTTTAGTTTTCCGCTCACTTACATTTTTACACCAAACGAAGGAATATGGCTGGGTTTTTAATTCCTATGCAACCCTACATAATTACTTATAATAAATGAATGGTTAAAGTTAGTAGTTTCTTGATTAATGAAACGTTATTATTTGTTATAATTGATTAGTTTGTTGCATAGTAGTATACATTTCTCTCTCGTATTTATTATTTTGGCATTTCGTATATATTTTGTTTCTTCTTTTGACAAGGATATGTAACTGATATTATCTCAAAGTTTTAAAACAATAAATAAAAGGTTTTTGAAATGGATAATCATTTATCTTGAAGTTTTCAAATAGAAAAACACTGTCTTCTTTCTAATGTTAATTCCTTGCAGTTATTCAAACAATATTTAACTACATTTTATTAGACCCAATAAACTTTTAGCGACCTATCTTAATTAATCCTTCATTTTATTCAGAAGCTTTTCGACACGAGTCTCTCATTTTATTTTTCTTTTCCATATATCAATAAATATTTCTAAAAGGAGATTAAAAGAAATCATTTTCTTCCTTTTTTTTTTCTTATTGCTCTTCTATCAATTGAAAGTCATGCTGAAAAAGATTTTGCTCATAAAAAGATATTGAAATTTTATTTATTTATTTCTATTATGTGCATATTATGTTATAGGAAATTATAATCGTATTCTTTTTAAGCTTAACAAAAAATTCTCAACATTTCTTTATTTTTTAATTGTATAAAAATTGAACTTAAAACAATGTATTGTAAATTATGTTGTGAATTTTAGTATTTTAAAGAAAATAACCAATAGCCAGAATCAATCTCAAGAATTTTAAAACAAAATATTATGTTTATTTTAAATTTAGTTAAATTTAATATTTAAANATTGAGTGAGACGTGTCAGCAGTGGTATAGCATGAAATTGTATAGCTACAACAAACGCGTATTTTAAGTGGCGCCGATTGAATTGATGAGTTAGGCGCATTAGAAAGAAAGATATTGAAAATAAATGTGGAAGGGTAAGAATTAAAATTGAAGAGAGGTGAGTGGAGCGAAGAATTAATTAGTATATCGCAATTGAGAAAAGTGTTTGATGTAGATCCGCTCAAGAGTGTGGAGACTTTTTCTCAAGATTATCAAGATTTAACAAATGTGATTATGTTATTTAAAATTAGATAATGGAGGGTGCCCATTGTTTAGGGTCCTATAACCATTCCTATTTTGCATGTATGCCGTAGGGATTGGAGTGGTCAAACAATTCTTTTTCTTTTTTGTTTTTTTTTCAATTGGGATTCCCATCCTTTTCACCCCTTTCTAGCAAACAAACAATTTAATTCAAACACAAACAAACCCTATTTCAGCATTTTCGGCCACTCTGTCTCTTTCTTTCTCAACAATTTTTTGTTGTGCGTTTAATAAAATCCAAAACCCAACTCATTTCACTTCCCTCCCGGAATCTCGCCATTATTCTATCATTATAAATGCTGCTGCTCTGTCTTATTATTGTTGTTATTATTGTTCACTTCACCACCAAATTGGTTTCATATGATAATAGCAATTGATTCCAAGTGAAGAATATAGAAATAGAGAGTGAATAAAACAAGGATGATCATGTTTGAATTCTTGCTGATATTGACGCAGATACAGTCTCAGCAACGGCAACCACACTCTTATTGTATTGTAAAAGAAGAAAAAGTATTCGGCCCACTCGTTCGTTGCGGTATAATGCTCACTTTTTCTAAAGCAATAAAAGATTCGGTCCAAATTGAATTACACTCCACCAATGTAAACAAATGCAAATTACTCTTTCTCTCATCAACCAAAAATTAAACAGAGCAGCCAAATTGTTCGTGCTTTTGCACACAGTGAAACCACAATCGTTCATCGTTTTTGTTCATCAATTTAACAATCTAGTTACTGATAAAACGATCGCCAGTATTAGATTGAATTATTGGAAAAGTGAACACGGTGTGAGAAAGGAGAAAGAAAAAGAGCGGGAAGGATCTCGAAATGAATTTCTTTCCCCTGGTGATTTTTCCTTTTATAAAATCTGTCTATGGACAAACAAAATTTGGTTTGATTTACATTTTACAAACGTTTCAATTACTGCGTGTGAGGGAGAGCGTCAAAACGGCATGATATGCGTGGTCTTGGTGTCGTAGCACGTGAGGCATGACTTGGAGTTCACCCGAAAAATCTTGAGCAAATCGGTGCACATTTGGCGCACTTGCGGCGTACAGTTGCTCTGCATCAGCAACAGAATCTTGGTCAAACCATTGGCCTGCGTCACTGCCTCCAGTGCCTTGCGATCGCGAAACAGGTAGCACAAGCTCCACAGCGTCGTCACAGCATGCTCCGTCGCCACGGTAGACACTTTCAGAACCTTGCTCAGCACCGCCGCCACGCACACCGCGTCCTCGCATATCTCCTTCCGCCCCTCCCTCGTCGAAGAAACCGCCTCCACCAGCTTCAGTACCTTCTCCACCGTCGCCGCTCCCAGCTCCGCCTCCACCAACAGCCTCGACAGCGCCCTCACCGAGCCGAGACTCACCAGCTTCAGTTTGTTCCGCTTCGGCGCCGAAATCGCGATCAGGCTCGCCAGCGCGGCCTCGACCAGCGCCGGATCGTTCTCCGGCGCCGCCGACTTCAGCAATTCCGCAACCACGCCTTCCTTCTCGGCTACTAAAATCTTCGACTCGGCGTCCGCGGCGATGAACTGCAGAACCCTGGCGGAGGCGAATCTCGAATCGCAGCCTCCTCGTTTCAGAACGAGAAGAAGAGAATCTAGGCTCTGTTTGTTTCCTTTGAGCAAAGAGTTTCTCAATCCATCGCGATCTTCGACGCCATCGAGAATCAGAGCTAACAGAAGGACGACTTGTTCGAGAAATTGAATGTTAGCTCTGGCGATGAGTCCTCCGTCGACATTGTGGAGGAAACGAACGAGTTGGTTGACCAAGCGTTCTAGTTTGGAAAGGAAGAGTTTGTTATGGTGAGAATCTGTGGCGAAGAGGAGCAGTTTGGTGAGCGAAGCAGAGCGGAGAGAGGGGGTTTCCAATTGAGAGACGGTCAGGAGGACCTGGTCCGGGGAGAGGATAGTTGAATGGCGAAGGGAATCGGACCAGATCTGGATGAGGCTTTGCAGAGTTCGGTTGGGAACGAAGTCTTTGGTTTTGAGGAGTTGCATGGTTGCGGGGCAGGTGTTGTTGCCGGCGTCGAGCCAGCGTTGGATGCTGGAGCGATCGTAGGTGATTCCGGTGCAGAGACTGACAGGGGATTTCATGAGATCAAGAGAAATAGGGCACGTGAAGAAAGTGGGAACGTTGATGCATAGATCGTCTCTTGCTCTGACCATGGTTTGGTTGAGTTGAGTTGAGTGAGTGAGTGAGTGAGAGTGAGAGACAGAGAGAAGTGGGAGATGCTGGTGAGAGGAGAACGGGGTGTTTAAAGATGCAATGGGAATGGTCAAAGGTGGGTGACGTAAGATGCTTCCCTTTTTGTTTATTTCTATCTCTACTTGCGCTCTCGGGTCAACCGGGGAGAGAATTGTGCGTGTAATGGTCGTGACACGTGGAGGTGGAATGCCTATGATGAAGCTTGAGGGGTAGAACGTGGGGGTGCTGGGGACCACCCAGGAACATTTTTATCAACTTTCAATTAATTCATCATAAAAGGA